TGATGGGATTTACACACGCGGTAATTAGGAGGGGCACCACATGTTCCCCGCTCTGTCTGCCACCGCAGCCGCCGTCGGTGCGCCCCTAAGTCTGTCCAAGCGTCGAGCGAACGTTCTTCGTCGGTAAGTAAAAAAAAATCGCAATAATAAATTCCCTTACCGACGAGGCCCGCGGGACGATCTTCGGGGCCTGGAGCGATCGTCGCGACAACCAAAAACTGACGCGTGTGGAGTTGACGTAGCGTGCAAACGTGGGGGGGCGGGGGGGAAGGGGGTCAGCGGTTGTGGAGCGGTTGGTGCGCGCTGTGCCGCGAACACCGGCGAAACCCGAGTTGGATTCCCACGCCAAACGTGGTGCCGGCCAGCCCCCCGTTGGTGCAGCTGCCTGCTCATCATGCGTTTTCCCCAAAGGTCTGTTGAGGCTATAAGGAGGATCTTTATCTTTGGTTCAACACAAAGTACACGTAGCCTGGCACAAGTGCTGCGGTGACATCACCGCTACTCGGTGGCGATTGGCGGCTGCCGTGAGATTTATTTAATATTTATTTCTTTCTGCACTTTATTTGGATAAATTCCAGCTCCGGTTTGATTGGTATGCGACAAACCATGCATGCTGTGCGTGTGGTTGGGTGAAAAAGCGTCATCCCACTGCTGTGCGACCTAATGTCACTTGATGCAGAGATCTCGGAGGTGGCTCTGCGAGATCTACTTCAGTGGGCGCCACCGTCTCGCTCTCGCCCAAGTCGCGCGAAGTAATCCTCGAGGATTCTTCCGCTGTCGGCAGCGGCGCGACGCCGAGAGCACAATCGGGATGGCAATTATCGGGAATATGATTATTTTTTTAAACTAAAATCTGTAGATATTTATATATGTGTGTGTGTGCGCGTGTATAAACGTGTAATGAATCATCCAGGGAAGCCCTTGGGTTGTTGCGCAGGCGAGAAACGCGAGGTCTTCGGCGCAGAAAAGGAAGCAAGACAATATTTTTTTAAAGGTTAAAAAAATCTTTAACTCAAAAGCTTGTTGTTTTACCAGGTAAGGATTCTGAACCCCCCCCCCCCCCCACAAAATCCTCAAGTGGGGGGAGGGGGAGGTGCACGGGGTGGGGGGGGAGGGCATGGGTGATGGTGGTGGGGGTAGTGGTGAAGGAGGGCTTGTGACCCCGTTGCTGGGAAGCGAGTCCAATCGGCCTCGCGTGGGCGGGAGGTGACGACGCTTCCTCCGCGGCGTCTCAAGAGGTCTTCCGCCACCCACCACCAATTTAAAAGTCCCTGCTGTGAAGATCCGGAGCGGTCGTCTTTCATTCCCGGCGCGGCGTCCGAACCTCCGGCACCGCCGCCGCGTTCGCCGTGCGTGCGGTCTTCAACGTATGCGTTTATACGTGTGAGTGTGTGCGCGTGTACGTTATTTGTTTCCTTCTGTTTGTGTTTTCTTGGCGGCGCGGATGACCGTGCCGCGTGCCGTGTTCGTCGGTGCGTGCCGCGGCTTGGAGGTGGTGAGGTTGAAGGGAAGTTTGCGACGGCTGCAAAATGGCTCGGCGGGTGCACGCAGGTCGGGCCAAAGGCATGTCCAGTGTTTATTTTTAAAGTTACCTTTTTTTTGGTTATCATTGATTAGCCTCTTTTAATTACTGCTCAGAGATGTTGCCGACTCGCTTGCCTGCGCAATAACTACCGCTGCTTTCGTTAATCATCCATCCGTATCGGTGGAGGATTTTTTGTGTTGCGCGCACGAGACGATTAATCCATTCCTGTCTCTCGCAGAGCAGCGCTGCCCTCCGTGTTCTTCGAGAACGGCCCGCAGAAGCGGATGTCACAGAGCTACCACTGAGATTCCCTTCTCGTCTTCGTGACGCTCTGGTCCCCATGCAGAGCGGGCGAGCACTTTGCTTCGTCACGTGACGCTCAAACCGTACTCGGAGCTGGAATTGAGCCAAACTTAATTGCGGAACCAAATTTATGATCCGATGGGTTTCTTTCTTTTTTGTGCAGTCATTAGTGGTGACCGGGCTGAGACCATTAAATCACTGCACTCCGGTATAATCGCTATTTAGTCTGTGTGAATCTATTGGTCTCTATACAAGTCTATGGTTCTGTATGTGAGTCTATGGGTCTCTGTGAGTCGTCTATGAGACTGTGAGTCTATGGATCTCCACAAGTCTCTATGTATGTACATATATTGAACTTCTTTCGCACCACCGTGCATAGCCAACCATGCTAATCGGAGGTGCAGGGGAAGGACAACAAACTACAGGTCTCTATGTGAGTCTCTGGGTCTCTGTGTGAGTAGTCTCTGGGTCTTTGTGTGAGTAGTCTATGGATCTCTGTGCGAGTCGATGGGTCTTTGTGTGAGTCTCTGGGTCTCTGGGTCTCTGTGTGAGTCTATGGGTCTCTGTGTTAGTAGTCTATGGATCTCTGTGCGAGTCGATGGGTCTTTGTGTGAATCTCTGGGTCTCTGTGTGAGTCTATGGGTGTGTGTGAGTAGTCTATGGGTCTCTGTGTGAGTAGTCTATGGGCCTCTGTGTGAGTAGTCTATGGGCCTCTGTGTGAGTCAATGGGTCTTTGTGTGAGTCTATGGGTCTGTGTGAGTAGTCTATGGGTCTCTGTGTGAGTAGTCTATGGGCCTCTGTGTGAGTCAATGGGTCTTTGTGTGAGTCTATGGGTCTCTATGTGAGTAGTCTATGGGCCTCTGTGTGAGTCTATGGGTCTCTGTGTGAGTATATGGGTTTCTGTGTGAGTCTATGGATCTCTGTTTGAGTAGTATATGGGCCACTGTGTGAGTCTATGGACCTCTGTGTAAGTGTATGGGTCTCTGTGTGAGTCTATGGGTCTTTGTGTGAGTAGTCTATGGATCTCTGTGCGAGTCGATGGGTCTTTGTGTGAATCTCTGGGTCTCTGTGTGAGTCTATGGGTGTGTGTGAGTAGTCTATGGGTCTCTGTGTGAGTAGTCTATGGGCCTCTGTGTGAGTCAATGGGTCTTTGTGTGAGTCTATGGGTCTGTGTGAGTAGTCTATGGGTCTCTGTGTGAGTAGTCTATGGGCCTCTGTGTGAGTCAATGGGTCTTTGTGTGAGTCTATGGGTCTGTGTGAGTAGTCTATGGATCTCTGTGCGAGTCGATGGGTCTTTGTGTGAGTCTCTGGGTCTCTGGGTCTCTGTGTGAGTCTATGGGTCTCTGTGTGAGTAGTCTATGGATCTCTGTGCGAGTCGATGGGTCTTTGTGTGAATCTCTGGGTCTCTGTGTGAGTCTATGGGTGTGTGTGAGTAGTCTATGGGCCTCTGTGTGAGTAGTCTATGGGCCTCTGTGTGAGTCAATGGGTCTTTGTGTGAGTCTATGGGTCTGTGTGAGTAGTCTATGGGTCTCTGTGTGAGTAGTCTATGGGCCTCTGTGTGAGTCAATGGGTCTTTGTGTGAGTCTATGGGTCTCTATGTGAGTAGTCTATGGGCCTCTGTGTGAGTCTATGGGTCTCTGTGTGAGTATATGGGTTTCTGTGTGAGTCTATGGATCTCTGTTTGAGTAGTATATGGGCCACTGTGTGAGTCTATGGACCTCTGTGTAAGTGTATGGGTCTCTGTGTGAGTCTATGGGTCTTTGTGTGAGTAGTCTATGGATCTCTGTGCGAGTCGATGGGTCTTTGTGTGAATCTCTGGGTCTCTGTGTGAGTCTATGGGTGTGTGTGAGTAGTCTATGGGTCTCTGTGTGAGTAGTCTATGGGCCTCTGTGTGAGTCAATGGGTCTTTGTGTGAGTCTATGGGTCTGTGTGAGTAGTCTATGGGTCTCTGTGTGAGTAGTCTATGGGCCTCTATGTGAGTCAATGGGTCTTTGTGTGAGTCTATGGGTCTCTATGTGAGTAGTCTATGGGCCTCTGTGTGAGTCTATGGGTCTCTGTGTGAGTATATGGGTTTCTGTGTGAGTCTATGGATCTCTGTTTGAGTAGTATATGGGCCACTGTGTGAGTCTATGGACCTCTGTGTAAGTGTATGGGTCTCTGTGTGAGTCTATGGGTCTTTGTGTGAGTCTATGGGTCTCTATGTGAGTAGTCTATGGGTCTCTGTGTGAGTCTATGGGTCTCTGTGTGAGTATATGGGTTTCTGTGTGAGTCTATGGATCTCTGTTTGAGTAGTATATGTGCTACTGTGTGAGTCTATGGACCTCTGTGTGAGTCTATGGGCCTCTGTGTGAGTCTATGGGTCTTTGTGTGAGTCTATGGGTCTCTATGTGAGTAATCTATGGGCCTCTGTGTGAGTCTATGGGTCTCTGTATGAGTAATCTATGGGTATCTATGGGAGTCTATGGATTAACTTTTAACTTTTTTCTGCACCGTGCATAGCCAACCATGCTAATCAGAGGTGCTGATGTAATGGTGTAATGCAGGTTTCATTGTACGGAGAATTAGCTGACAAAAAAAGCCCAAGTAAAAAAAAATTCACAAGGGGGAGGGTCGGGGCTGTGCAATGAGCGTTGCAGGATGTTATAGTGGTGTGAAATTACCTCGGGTCCAGTAGCTTCCACATCACGCAAATCACGAACCGGTGACTGGCTGACTCCGTGAGCACATGCCTCGTCACGTGGTGCTGCCCGCTGCTTGCCTGCCGCCTGCTGCTGCTACTGCTGCTGCTACTACTGCTGCTACTACTGCTGTTGCTGCTGCTGTTACTGCTGCTGTTACTGCTACTACCAGAAAAAAATCTCAATTTGAAAACGAATTTCCTGCCTAAAATAAAAAAAAATCACTAACACATGGGATTGACTTTTAAAAATTTATTTTTAATAATAATGTCGAATAGTGTATTGTATTACAATCATATAAACTGAAATCTATTTTATAGTAATATATTGGGGGGGACAACCAGCTGGGGGCCCCCCTCTGCTTGGGCTGCTTTCTTGCCACCCACGGATAGGCACGCGGTTTTGCTCCACAAATTAAAATGAAATCGACGCGACACATTCGTTGTTCTCTCGCCCGTGGGTTTCATTTCCCCCCTTTATCTCCAACTTCACAGGACGCGGTGAGGACGCCCTGAAGTGAAATCTGTCGATCTGGTGCTCGCCGAATCGTGACGACAGCGGGGACTTGGGATTCGGCACCGCCGCCAACGCCGCCGCGGTTTGGACGGCATCGCCAAAACCAGGCATCGGCGCCGGTTTGGCTCGGCGCGGGCCTCGTTCATGACGTGCCCACGCCCCTCCACCACCACATCCACCTCCACCGCCACTTCCACCACCTCCACCGGCGACGTGCCTGGGCACCCACCAATGACCCCTGACCTCCCGTGACCTTCCTGGCACCGCACCCAGCAGACATGCAGCAAAGCCGCGTCGTTCGCCCAGCGGTGGTGACCCTCGACCCCCCGCCCGCACGGCACCACCACGGCTCTGACCCCGCCTCGTCGCTTCTGCCGCCAGCGCCGGCGACCCGGCAGCCCGGAGAAGAGTCGTCCCGGGCCTCCGCTGGGCCCTCCCCCGTGAGGCCGGGCGGCGGCGGGGAGGAGGAGGAGGACGGGGGCGGCGACGTCGATTCGCCGCAGGACCTCAGCCGCAAGGACGGCGTCAGCGCCCCGGCGGCAGAGCGGCGGTACGAGTGCCGGCACTGCCACCTGGCAACGTGCGACCTGGCGGTGTTCAGCGCCCACGTGGACGCGGCCCATCCGGGCGTGCTCGCCAACCCGCTGTACGTGTGCCGCGCGTGCCGCTTCCGCTCGTCCCTGCGCAGCGAGTTCGACGCGCACAACCGCCGCCGCCACCGCAGCCTCGGCCGCATGAAGCTGAGGATCACCAAGATGCCCGACCGGACCGTGCTGGAGCAGAGCCCCGTGGGGCGGGCGTTGGACGTCGGCGGCGAGGACGGCGACGACTGCAAACGCCGTTCCGCGGAGACGTCCCCGGCAACCCCCGCGGTCGTTCGGCCGAGCGACGACGCCGCGGGCGGCGCCGTGCCGAACCCTTCCGGGCTCTCCGCTCGCCGCTCGCCCCGGCCGCCGTTCGAAAAGCCGAACGGCGCCGAACCCCGGCGGCGTTTGACGGACGTGGCGGCGGAGAATGGGGCGGGCGCGCGGGAGCTGGCGGCCAAGACGGCGGCGGTGGTGCCGCGGTCGCAGCGGCGGCACCAGCAGCAGCAGGAGGACCGCGCGGGCGGTCTGCAGATCTTTAACCCCGCGCTGCCGCACATCGTCCTCAACGCGTCGAAGATCGCGCAGGGCGACCCGGCGTTCGCGCGCGCCGTGTTCGACGGCGCTCCGACCGCCAAGCAGGCCCGCGGGGGGGGAGCCGCCGAGGACGATGCCACGACGGCCACCGCCGGCTCCGAACCCGCGCCGGCGCTCGTCGCGGCTCGCAACGGCCACCGCCGCGAGCGGCCGGCGACGGTCGACGACGACGCGACGGACGAGGCGGCTCCGGCGTTGGATGACGCCGGGCGCATGGACGGCGACCAGCACCTGCTGGCGGCGTTCGCGCGCTTCCCGTACCCGTCGAGCGGGGACATC